CAGGTATGGGGTACCTGTCCCCTCCCTCCTCTGCAGGGATCTCGTAGCTCAGCTTCCTGGATTGTGGGTAGGGCGGGCTGCCCGGGGAAATGGAGCCAGCCCGTGGGGAGTGGGCACCGGAACTGGAATACCCTCTGCCCTCACCTGGAGAGCCACAGCTATGAGGCACCCGGCCATATGCTGGGCAGTAACTGGGAACGGCTCCTCCATAGCCATATGTCACCAGGGCAGGATACCCTGGATGCCCATACCTGCCTTCAGGGCACAGGGCGTAGGAGCAGCCCTCATGCCCTTCCTCGCCTGCCTTGGGTGGCTTCAGGCAGCTGTAGTCGGGCATCGGGGTGTGGTGATGCCCGCAGGCAGGCACCAGCAGGGGCAGTGGGTGCCCGGACCGCACCGGGTGCAGGAGAGCCTTGCCAGCCTCGCCCGCCCACCCCTCTCCAGCCTCCCTCTCCAGCCTCAGCCCATATAGGGCTGCAGTGGGCAGCGCCAGCTTCTCCTCACAGGCGGGGCAGGAGCACAGGGCAGGCATCCCAGGGTCCTCCACGATCACCACCTCCCGGTAGCCTGGGGAACGGTAGCCGAAGTCCCCGTTGGCTGGTTTCCCCAGCTCAGGGGGGTAGGGATACGGCCCCTCAGACAGGGATCGGCAGAGGCGCCTCTTCTCCACAGAGGCCTCGGCGTAGCCCTGGGGGTGCCCCTCATAGCCCCCATAGACCAGCCGCCGCCTGTCCAGGGTTCCCTCCGGCCGGTAGTAGCCCCCATTGGGGACCCCGCAGGGCTCCCGGTAGCCCTGGCGGCAGGAGCAGTGGCGGCTGAGGCTGGGTCTGTGGCCTGAATACACTCCGAGGTGGGGGCCTCCGCCCACGGGCGGCTGCTCTTCGTCATCCAGGATGGCCGTCTCGCGCCCGGCTCCCCGGCCCCCACCGGCCACTCCACAGCCTCCCAGGAGGCGGTCTAGCTCCTGTCGTTCCGCAGCCGTTGGGGGTGGCCGGCCAGGGGACTCGGCAGCCGGCTCCGTGGTCAGTGTGGACGAATGGCCGGAGTCGCTGCTGACAGAGAGCATGGGGGGTGGAGGTGGCTCTGGAGAGGGCGCCGGTGGGCTCTGGCGGGGGGCCCGCTGCACCTGGGCGTAAGGACTGCCATCCAGGGGTCCCCGGGTGTGTGTCGGGGAGCCTGGGTGGGGACAGGACCAGGGAGGGAGGGCAAGCAGGAAGAAAGGAGAGAGAGGGAGTCAAAGAGAGGGAACAGAGCAGGGGACTCCACTTCAGGGGTGTCCCTCGGGAGGGGGATCTGCCTGGGAGGAAGGAGTGTGCCCCTCAAACCTCCACCTCCCACCGCCCCTGGGCCTGCCCCACACACCGTCCACGCTGTCCTCGTGGTGCTGATTGAAGTTCTCGTAGGAGTCCCAGCGCACGGCAGGCTCTGCCGTGTTGTAGTCAACAGAGACCGAGGGGTCGTTCCGTGGGGTGTTGCCTGTGGAACGGGCCGCCCAGGTGTTGAGAAACCGGCAGACAGCCTTTAGCCCTGACCCAAGGCTTGGCTCTTACCTTTGATCTTTTCAGGGCTGGAGGAGAAGACGAACTCCACCGAGGCTTGGAAGGGGAACCTCTCATCTGCGGGGAGTGGCCGTGAGGAGCCGGGCCCCTGCCCACCCTCACCTGGGCTCCAGCCCCCACATCCGTCTCCAACTCACCAGCCCAGGCCTCGTCCAGCTGGTCCTTGGGGAAGGTGAGCCGTGGTCCGTGGATGGTGCACGTGTGGAACTGGACTCGGAACACGAGGGTCCGGTCTGTCCCCCGGCCACCCTTGTGATAGCAGGTCACCTGGATGAGGGAAGGGAGACTAGGGGTCAGGCCCTCCTGTCCACTTGCGTCTCCTCTGTGCTCCACCCTGGGGACTGTCTGGCCGCAGCTCTGCCCGGGCCTCAACCTCAAGGTGGCCCCTCCCCCCATCTAGGGGACTAGCTTTCCAGCCTCCAATCTGCCTTGAACTGATGAGTCCCCAGAGACTGTGCAGCAGGCAGGATACACCACCACCCCTTGGACCCCTGCCCCTTCCCAGGATGGTCCCCTCACCATGACATCGCCTTTGAGGAGGAGGGCTGGCTCCAGGCTGATGCAGAGCTGTTGCGGCCCAGGGCCTGCAACGTGACTGAGGAAGGAAGGACGAGGCACAGGCCGAGTCAGAGGCACTCGGGCTGGGGTAGGGAGCTATGAAGAGTCAGGAGGGACTTGGGAGATTGGAGTCCGAGCCCTGGGCGAGAGACCTTTAGCCTGAACATCAGCCTCTCCAACCGTAAAATGGATTCCATCATGGCCAACGTTTTTAGGTGCAGTGGCAGGAACCGGAGGACCCTGTGTCTGGGGAGGCTGGAGGAACAGGAATGCGGGCAGCAGGGGCCTGGGAAGAGAGCACTCACTAGATTCCAGATGTGTAGACGAGCTGCATGGACTGGTAGATCTTGAGGAAGGGCTGGAAGCCTGGAGGGACAGGAAGGAGAAGCATGTGGGGCTTGCTGAATGGAGGGGGTGGGGACGGCCCTCCTTGTGGAGCACACCACCCCAGGCAGACTCACCTGTGCCAGGTTCAAAGGCTGGCAGCACGGGCACAAGCACATAGTGCAGGAAGAGAGGGCTGCTGTTCATTCTGATGGAGCCGGACAGGAGGCCGCTGAAGTAGCTGATATATCTGGGAGGGGGTGTGTCAGAACATAAGCCCCTTCCTCTGGAGGCCCCTTTGTATCATTTCAGCCATGCTCACCACCACCCGCCTCCCCCCCACTTGGAAAGCCTGCCCTTCTTAGCACTTCCCTCACATCTTCCAGCTCACCAGAAAGTTCTTCCTTGCATCTAACCTCAATCCTTCTTGCTGTCCCAAAGGTTTGTACTTGCTGGCCCCTCTGGCTAGAATGCTCTTCCCCCAGATCTCTGCTTCCCGTCACAGAGATGGGTTCTGACTGTCCCGCAAGTGTCTCTTTACCACAAGCTCCATGAGAGCAAGGACCGTGTTTGTTCTGAATTCCCAGCACCTGACAGTGCCTGGTACACAGAAGGCGCTCCATTAAGGTATGCTGTATGAGCGAGAGAATCTCGGCCTTGGCAGCCATGGAGGGAGCCTGCTCCTCCAACCCATCCCTACCCGGGCTGCTCACCGGCGCTGGGAGGGCTGCAGCTCTGCGGCCACCTTGTCCTCACAGAACTTCCTCATGGTAAGCGTAGCCAATGCCTGGTCCGCCCTGGAGACAGCAGGACCAGCGTGGGGGATTAGGGGCTGGTATCCAAGCTGGCCTCTCAACCCTAAGCCCCAGGATAGGGAGGAGACGTGTGATCCCCCCAAAGGCTAGAGGAAGCCCAGAGTGGTGGTGAAGAGGACTAGAAACCCCACAGACAGTCACTTTACTAGTTGTTGGGCCTCAGGCAAGTGCTCCCTGAGTTTTAGTTTCCTCCTCTGTAAAATGGGGAAATAAGACCATGCTATAGGTTGGGTTTTTGGCTCCCCAAAAGATATGTACCTCTGAATGTGATCTTATTTGGAAATAGGGTCGCTGCAGATGGAATTAGTTAAGATGTTATACTGGAGGAGGAATGAGCCCTTAATCCAATATGATTGGTGTCCTTAGAAGAAGAGAAGAGACAGACAGACAGACACACACACAGGAAGAAAGCCATGTGACGACCAAGGCAGAGAGTGGAGTGACGCAGCTGCAGGCTAAGGAACACCAGGGACTGCTGGTCACCACCAGAAGCTAGAAAGAGGCAAGGAAGGGCTCTACCCAGAGTCTCCACGGGAGTGCAGTGCTGCTGACACTTCGATTTTAGACTCCCAGCCTCCAGAACGGAGACAACACATTTATGTTGTCTCTAGCCACTTAGTTTGTGATACGTTGTTACAGCAGCCCTAGGAAACTGATAAAAATCCTCTGCTGGGAACGGTGGGGGAGGTACAAGCGAGAAAAAGGAGGTGGAAAGGCCAAGTTTATGGTAAATGGCTCTCCGAACACAGAGGCGGGCTCGGCCAACTGGGGGAGGCAGGTCACTGGGGAGGGGCCAGTCAGGGGTCAGGGAGTCAGTCTCACCCTGCAGAGATCTTGCTGTAGTGCATGTAGGCAGAGACGATGACCCCGAGCTTGCCCTTGCTCCCCTGAGGGTAGAAAGATAGGGATGCAGGGCCTGCTGAGGCCTCAGGCTGAGGTCACCCCGGCCCTGTGAACCCCAGGTCCCAGCTCACCTTGCAGTACAGTACAACCACGTGCTGTGGGTCAGCACTGAGCCACGTCTCCATGGCTTTGCAGATGGAACACAGCTTGTCCAGGGGGGGCGCATGCAGCTCAGGCCAACCGAAGTCCTGGACCTGGGGCGGGGGGGCGCAGGGGTACAACTGAGGGTGGGGGCCACAAGCAAAGAGACATGGGTGGGGATGGGAAAGGGACCAGGTGTAGGGGTCGGTGGGGGCCAACCAAAGTCAAGAGACTGTTGGTTGTCCACGACAGGCTCAACACTTTCCTCATGGGTACAATGGGGTTGATACCCGCTGCACCATGCTTTGGAGTGTCTCAAGTAAGAAGTCACCTGGGAAGGTGCCAACTGCTACTATTAATAAGGAGGAGCTGGGGGCTCGTTGGGGTGGGAGTTGAGTTTAATGGCTTTAATCCCCTCCTACCTTGGGGTTTAGGCGGGTCAGGTCATGTCTTTTCTCTGAAAGGTTGAAGAGCTGCAAGTAAAGAGGGGACTTTAGACGGAAGTGACCTTGGGCAGCGGGCGGCGAGGCGCAACCCTTGCTGCGACTCTAAACAGTCTTTCTCCCGAACGAGGACGGCGCTAAGGCCCGGCCTAGCTACGACCGCCAGCGGGGGCGTTCCCTATCGGCTCTGGCGGCCCCGAGGCCCCGCCCCCTAGGCCCGCGCCTTCAGGAGTTTGTCGTCAGGCAGCAGCTCCGCCCACCTGGGCCTCCCAGTCCTCTCATTGGCTGACTGCGGAAGGCCCCGCCCTCACCAGGTACTTGTCGCGGTGCTTGGATTGCAGCACGTGAGCCAGCTCGCGCAGGTGGCCCCGGTGTCGCTGCTCGTCGGGCCGCGCGGGGAAGGCGGCAGCCAGGATCCGCTCCGTCACGTAAGTGAGGTCCAAGTCCCAGCGGCGCTCCATAAGCGGGTCCAGGCTGAAGCTCCTGGGGAGGGGGCAAAGCCTGCGTCAGGCACGAGGGCGAGGCTCCGGGGGCAGATGGGAGGGGAGGGCGAGGCCTCGGGGTCCCGAGGGTAGGTGGGGCCGCTCGGGGGCGGGGTGGGGGGCTGCCTAGGAGAGCTTTGCCGGGGCGGGGGCGGCCGCCCGGTGCGGCGCTGCGCCGGGCTGAGGTATGGGACCACCCCGGCGCCCTCACTTACCTGGGCAGAGTGTTGCGCTGCTTTGAGTGGTTTAGAGACTTGGTGGATCCCTGGTGGATGAGATGAGACGGTGCACATCTCTTTGGGTGCCCCCCACTCTAGGCTCCCCGCTCCAGAGTTCCGTGAACTTTCGTTCTCGCAAGATACCTAGGTCCGTACTCCCAGAGCTACCTGCTTCCGCCCCCTCCGCCAGCATCACTTACCAGGTGCTCTATGCGCCTCACGGGGGCCGTGTTTCTCCGCTAGAGGGAGACGGAGGCGGAAAAGGGGGCGGTTAGGGCGGGGGTAGGGACCAGTCTGCGCCTGGGGATGGTGGAGAGGGCACGCGGGGCTTCCTGTGGGGGCTGCACCGGGCCAAGGGAGAGGAGTCCTAACCCCCAGCAGACCCAAGGGCAAGAAGATCAGAGGGCTCATTTTTTTCCTGTCCCTCAGGATGACCGGCACCCACAGCAGTCCATTCAAGCTAACCTCCTGGGGGCCCTCTCTGTGGCCACCAGACCTTTGGACACCTCAGCCAGGTTCCTTGCCACTCCCACCCCATCTCAGAGCACACTCACCAGCTCCGCCAGAGGCAAAGCCTGACAGGACGAAGTCACCTGGAAGGAGACCCGAGTGAGGGGCTGAGCTCCTGCTGAAATGGGGTCTCCTGGGCTTGACGATGGGGCTACCCCTCAGCTTCAGCAAGAAGGTGGAGGGGCTGTCAGCAGATGGGCACACACTCCAGCTGAGGTTCTTCTATTTAAGGGAGCCTCCCCTCTGGCCTCTCTGGTCCCCCACCCCTAGGCCCCCCACTTGTTGCTCTTGGCTCCCAGCCCCCTGCCCACACAGACCCCCATTCATCCAGCTGCGGGGCAGAAGTTATATATAGAGCCATGTAGGCAGGCCATGGCCAGGGACGGACACTGGCCTCTTTCACCGGGAGACCCCGCCCCTGGGCACACAGCTCCCCCAGGCCAACTCCAAGGCCCTGGGACCCCCCGCACTGCAGGAGGAGGACGAGGGAACCTCCTCAGAGATGGGGCTGCCTCAGGTCCCCAGTGGACAGTGGTGCTTATCTACAGCTTGTACCTTCCGCCCGGCCTTTCCAGGGCCCAGGACGAGACCCACCCAGGCATCCTGAGGACCCTTCCCCAGAGGGAAGGCACAGCCCATCCGGCTACCCAGTCTTTGAAATCCTGCTCCCCCACCCACCCACCCCACCCTTCCTTGTCCTCATTCTCCTCCTCTTCCCCACCCCCATCCTCTCGCCAGCTGCAGCCTGGGCACAGCACCAAGACAAACCCTGTCTCCTGTCCACCCGCCTGGGCCAGCCCTCCAGGGGGTGGAGTAGGGTGGTTCTTAAAGGGCCCAGTACAGCACCCTCTCCCACTCCGGCAGGGGTTCCCCCATGATGAGAGGGGCTGCGGTTGATGCCCATGTGGCTGGAGAAGCCCGTTTCAGAGGAAGACTCTAGTCCTCCTCCCCCAGTCAAGTACCCACCTTTGCTTCACATTTTCTGTGTGTTGCCACCTTGCAAACTAGAGAGGGATGGTGGGGAGAAGAGAGGGGTTAGCAGGCACATAGTGGGGTAGCCCTCCCCCATCTCCCCAGGCCCTGGAACCAGATTCTGGGGCTTCCAAGACTGTTGAGATGGAATGGGGGAGCAGGGGCAGAGTTCAAGGGAAGTGTCAGGCAGCGGGGTAGTTCGCTCAGGCCAGGGAGGGAGGGGGCAAGGGCTAATGTTCCAGGGTGACTGGGGGTGAGGGGGGAGGGAGGGAAGTCCCCATCACAGGTCCACTGGGGAGGCAATGGAGAGGACTGGGTCTCCTGGGTTGGGGCGGGAGTGTCCGTCATGGGGACAAGGGCTGTTTGGAGGGGAGGCAGCTCCCCGTGACGGACACCCTCTTGGTTCCCATGCTGTCCAGGGGGCAGCATGCACATTACGGTTTAAACTCTTTGTGAGTCTACCCGCTGGAGTTGTGCACACAATGGTGCTGGGTTAGAGGCTCTCAGGGTCACAGGACAGGCACCTCACCTCTGCATGAGACGCCAGTTCCATCGATGGTCACCTTACACACTGCACAGACTGGTGGTTTCTTCCGGAAGACCTTCTCCCGGAAGCTGTGTGGCTCGGCTTTCCTAGGCTAGGGACGGAAGGACACACAGGCAGAGGTGTCAGTTCTCAGTGGACCCATCTCTGGGACTAGCTGGGGTCTTAGCACTACCCTGGTTTCTTTCTCCTCCATCCTGATAAAGCCCCTAAACTCCTAAGACACACTTGGTCACAGCTGTTTCTTGGCTTTTATGGGGCCTGTCCTTGATGGTGTATGGAATCTGCCCCCTTGCATCACCCCAGACGGGTCACCTCCTCTCTGAGGGTCACTCGGGACCCTCGTATGGTGTGTGAAACCCTCGCGGTCACTGCCACACCAGGTGCTAGAGCTTTCCTCCTGATCTGGGAGGTGGGGGGGTGCTCTCTGACTTTCTTCTATGAGGGTTCCCCATTTCTCCTCCCATTTTGCCTTCCCCAGATGGAGGTCCCTGTGGAGAGTGAGCAGGAGGGGGTCCAGAAATGAACGTAGAATGTCAGTCACGCAGCACCCAGACTGACCTGGTGGGGAGTGGCCTGAGCCAGTCCTACTCCCCTGGCTCCCGCTGTCCCCGTGCTCCAGACAGCTGACATGCCCTCCTCCCCCTACTGTCAGAACAACATGTTTACTCATTGTGCATTGAGGCGGCAGGCAGCAATTGTGTAAGGAGGGGGTGGTAATGCTGGAGAGACAGGCAGACAGAGGCATGACATTGGGGGAAATGTTCAGCTGCCTTGCTACTTCTGGATGTAGTGAGCACCCTGTCACTTGAGGTTCAAGTGGGATTCCAGCATGGAATGGGGGAAGGGGTGGGCTAGATGCCCTGTTGGGCCTCTCCCCACCCAGAGTGCAGTGAGGCAGGGATGCCCCGTTATGGCCCTCATCCCCGTCCCTCCCACTGTGGGTTCACTCCACTCATCTTCTGTCCATATGCCTCCTCTCCCTTCTACCCATTTTTCTCTTCCCTCAAGTGTTCAAGCCCCCCCCCACACACCCCATAATATTATCTCATGTTGCCCTGAGCTGCTTCTTTTGGGGTATGGCTGATAAAATATGGGGAAATGGAGTCATAGGCATCCAGGCCCCCCATCCTGGGGACCCAGGCAGCACTTTTGGTCTCTTGGCTGTCCCCCAAGAACCTGGATTAAAAACAACCTGAACTCTTATGGGCCAGCCTTGCTGGACCCGTTAGGAAACTTGGGTGCATTCTGACATTAACGGCATGCACTGGTGATGTCAGGGGAAAGTCCCAGTGTCTAAAGCACTTCTGACACCTGGCCACCCCTCTCCCTTCGCCACCTCCACCCCATTTCTCCCAAACTTCTGAGCTCAGGGAAGGGGCCTGATCTCGGCCCTGCCCTGGGGCTCCCCGGTAGTACCTGGAAAAGTCCTACAATGAAGTATACCTGAATGCAGGTTTAGGGGGCCAGGATCCCCAGGGTTGGCCTGAATTAGAGCAGGGAAGTTGGAGGAGGGAAAGTGGACACCAGGTTCTGCTTTAATCCAAACTTCTGCTGCTCACACCACAGCTCTGGCTATTCCAAAGGGGCATAGTAGTGAGGGGATTCGGGGCAAGGGGAGAAGGTTCTGGCCTGAGTCCTGGTCCCCTCCCCCACTGCCCACCCCTCCACCCCTGCCCCTCCTCTGCCCAGCCAGCGGGCACTCCTACCCTGCTGGTGGCCCGGCTGCTGTCCCTCCTCCCCAGGGCTCTGAGCAGCCTCTCCACGGGGCCGCTGGACTTCATGATGTCCGGGCGGCTGGCTGGGGTGCCGACTGCGGGCCTGAACAATGCTGGGGCCCGGCCCGGGGCTTCCTGGAAGCGGCCTGGCGGAGGCAGCCGCTTCCCCTGGGTGGAGGGTAGGCTGTCTGGCTGGTGTGAGGAGAAGCCCGGCCCTGGAAGTGGAGGGGAGTGCAGGCGGGAAAGGGGCAGGTCGCTGCTCCAGGAAGTGGGGGGGGGGGGGGGGGGGGGCGGGGGGAGGTGGGGGAGGCCAGGAGATCAGATTCCCAGGATCTACCCTGCTGGGAGTGTCAGCCCAGGATCTTTTGCCCCCCAGCCCCTTGCTGTGGAGCTGCCCCTTGCCCAGGGGATCCACCCTATCCAGGGATCTGCAAGGATCCTGAGGTCCAGCCCCCAGTGGAGTGGGGTGGGGGCAGGGTGGGAATTTAGGTCTCCTGCAGGGCTCAAGGGCCAGTGGGGAACACTGTGTCCCAGGCCAGGTCAGGCCAGTCTCCCAGCCTGAACTCTCAGGTTCTCAGGGGACTTCTGGTGGGGAGGAAGGGGGAGCTGGGAATCACTACCCCAGCCAGCTCAGGATCGGGGTGCATCCTGAGGGGCCGGGGAAAACAGGACTGAGGGCCAGCTTCCTGCCTCAGTTTCACTGGTTGTGAAGTACAGGAAAAGGAAAGCATTCACTGCTTCTCTCCTGCCGCCCCCATACGCACTGGAAGGCCTGCTTCCAGCCACAAGATTGTTCTGCCCACGGGAGTGAGCCATTCTCCTGCTCCAGCCCAAGGCATTTGAGGCTCTTCTCCTGAGAGCACCCCACCCGCTCTGCTCCTGACAGTCATCCCCTCTGTCCCCCCATTCCATGGCTTGTTCGTGCTAGACCTCCCAGTCCCTAGCCCCTCTTTCCAGCCCTGCTGTGTAGGCCCTTCACCCAGA